GAATTTGGCATTTGGTTTGGCTCAAACCAAGGAAAGGGAAGAAGACTGTTACATCAACAACATTGGTTTGTTTGTATTGTGAACTAACTCTTCTCTTGTAACATTTGCAACTTAATATCAAATATCTCAATTCTATATTCTAGAATTGGGGGCAGACGTACCCTATGCGAGGACGACAAGGGGAACTGCCTTAACAAATCGTGTGTTCTTCTTCTTTTTCTTTATTTCCATACTTGACTACTATAATTTGTGGAAATTAACTTGTTAAATTTGATTATACTAAAATTGTAGGGTGTTGAGATCATTTCACAACATTGGTAACAATCCATTTGATTGATACCTAAGAAAACTCACCACTACAATTTAGTAAAACCAAGCCTAAGGTGCTTTGCACTTAAGGTGTTTGACAAATTGACTCGTCCATAAATTATTCATTGTGTTTAGCTTCATCTTAATCAACTCATTGAAAGTAAATTCATATTCATTAAGGGTGTATAAGTGATTGACCAATTGAGTAAAACGTATTGATTCTTACTTTATCATCATATCCCACACAGTTACGCATATCCGATCTTTTCAATAGAGGATCGTTTAGACGATTGGAGATTCCGGGAGCTTTCGCATATATTTCTGAAAAATAATATTAAAAAGCGCAAATTATTTTAAATGATTTATTCAATCTCCCTTCTAGATCGATCACATCGTCTAACAATAACATTCATAGCCAACTTAACTTTACCAATTAGAAATAATTGAGGAGGCTATTCTTATTATTGCTGAAATATCTTCTAATAAACTTGACCCTACTAGACCAATATATCATTATGATATTGTCTCAAAAGATAAACTGCAAGATATGATGTTAGGTCAAGAATCTGATTGAAAAATTTATGAATTGATTAAGAAATTAAATGATTTAAATTTAGAATCAACATCCACATTACATGCCCTCTCCCACAAAGGAGAAAGTAGCAATACCTTAACCTTAAACAAATTAGCAAATAGAGGCTCTAGGACAAAAACTAGAAATTATCATCCTAGACCTTCATTTGCCGACATGCAATTTGAAGAAAGAAGTATCTTCGTAGGAGATAGATACTCTGGAGAATCTATAGTTATATGGAACATAAATGGTGCTTCAAAAAAAAAAAACAGGTTCTGGATACCATTCAACAAATGACAATGGATGCCATAACCTTTAAAATTAGAAGAAATAGCGATAAAAAGACCAAAGACATGATAATCATGGGTTTTACTGGTCAATTAAAGGAATGGTGGGATAACATCATTGCTCTAAAAGATAAATTAAGAATTGATATGACTGTTAAAGGTGAAAATAATGAAGAGAATTGTGTTACAACTCTCTTTTATATCATTACTAAGTTCTTTGTATGAGAACCTTAAAACTCCAACAAAGAACCTCTAATCAATTAATGAACCTTTATTGCCCTATCATGTCTGATTATCATTGGTATAAAGATATGTTTCTTTCTAAACTCTGCCTCATGTCTGATGGAGTGACAAATTATTGGAAAGAAAGATTTATTAGTGGCTCACCGAGGTTATTCGGTGAAAAGGTTAAAACCAATATTAAACAAAATTTTAATAGAACTGTTCCATACAGTACTTTATCTATGAGAGAAATTTTCAATTATATTATAGAAACAAGTATACAAATATGTACTGATTATAAAATACAAAATACAATTAAAAATGAGAAAATAAATAGTAAGCGTAAAATGGGAATATTTTATGAACAATGTGGAGTTACCCCTTTAAGGGCTCCCAGTAATCCTTAAAAAAAGAAGCATGTTAGTAACAAAAGAAAAATCTCTCATTATCATAAAAAGAATTATAAAAAAGATAATTGGGAATTTTATAATAAGGCTTACAAAAAGAATTATGGCAAGAAAGCACAAAATAAAAAATCTTATAACAAAGATAAAGATGTAAAGTGTTTTAAATGTGGTCGTTTTGGCTATTATTCTAATAAATGTAATGTTAAAGAAAACCTTAATTAAATTAGTAACTTAGATATTTCTGATGAATTAAAAGAAAGTCTTATTAACACTTTAGAAAATATTATGCTAAATAATGGGATTCTTCATCCTCCGAAGAGTCATCCTATGAATCAGCGTATGATGATGTTAATCAACTTAATAACTCAGAAGAGCCAACCTCTGACTCCGACAAATTCTTTAAATTAGACTTTTACAGTTGTAACAACTGTTCTAAAATAACTAATGTCCTCATCAATAGTCAAACTAATATATTAATCACCTTATTAAACAAAATGCAAGACTCTGAAAGTAAAGAAGCTTTCATTCGTCAGATCAAAGATATTATTGACGAGAGTTCGTAAAAATGACATTCATAAAATAGAATTTAAAGATATTATGAAAATGTTTGAACCACCTAAAATTATTACTATTAACTATTTAAATCATGAAATAAAGTTCTTAAAGACTGAAATTAAACATTTAAAGGAACGTGGAGATAATTTAGAATTAAAATTTTTTGAGCTAAAAGAAAAGTTTATAATTAGTCAAGAATAAAATATTAGACCAACCGAGACTCACTCTCCATTGGTACTAATAATTCGGAGAATTACATAGATAATATTGCAAGGATTATATCCCAGAGTCCAATTAATTGATCATAATCAAACATATGAATTAATTACGTTAATAGATTTTGGAGCAGATTTTAACTGTATCCAAGAAGGATTAATCCCGACTCAATATTATGAAAAAAAATAAAAGAATCATTGCGAGGAGCAAACAATGGTAAATTACAAATTTCTTATAAATTATCTAATGCTAAAATGCGCAAAGATCAAATCTGTTTTAAAACTTCATTTTTGTTAGTAAAAAAAATCATGAAACTATTATACTAGGAACATCATTCCTAACATTATTATATCCTTTTACAGTTAGTGACACCGCAATAACCAAAGATGCTTTAGAAAAAACAATTAAATTTAAATTTTTAAATCAACCAAAAATTAGAGATCTTAATTCCATTAAAGAAAACTGTATATCCATGTAAATCAAATAAATATAAAAATAAAGTTAATTAATTTTATTAATAAAGAAATTCATTACAAACGAATAGACGAACAATTACAATCTAGAAAAATTCAAGAGAAAATTAAGGAAATACAAGATAAATTTGTTAAAGACCTTTGTTCAGAACAACCTAATGCTTTTTGAAAAAGAAAAGTTCATGTTGTATCCTTACCTTATGAATCCAATTTCAAGAAAATTAATATGCCTACTAAAACTAGGCCAATTCAGATGAACAAACAACATCTGGATTATTGTAAAACTGAAATAGAAGATTATTTTAAAAAGTGTCTAATTAGACCAAGCAAGTCTCCTTGGAGTTGCTCCTCCTTTTATGTTATCAATGCCTCTGAATTAGAACGAGAAAGTCCCCATCTGATAATTAATTATAACTCTTTAAACACCGCATTACAATCGATTAGGTACCCAATTCTTAATAAGAAAGACTTGATTAATAGATTACATAATAAAAGTGTATTTTCTAAATTTGTCCTTAAATCTGGATATTACCAAATTCAATTAAAAGAGGAAGATAAATACAAAACCGTTTTTGTAGTGTCTTTTGGGCATTATGCGTGGAATGTTATGCCTTTATGTTTGAAAAATGCGCCTTCAAAATTGCAAAATATTATGAACAATATATTTAATGACTATTCTCACTTAACCATAGTTTATTTGGATGATATCTTAGTTTTTTCGGATTCTATTAATCAACATATAGACTATATAAATAAATTCTATAAAATAATTAAGTCTAATGGTCTAGTCTTATCTGAAAAGAAATTAAAAATATTTTAATCAAAAATTAAAATTTTTAGGTTTTGATATTAGTCGGGGAATGTATACCCCTATTAGTGGGTCTCTAGAATTTGTTAGTAAATTCCCAGATGAAATAAAAGATAAAAACCAGTTAGAAAGGTTTCTAGCCTGTCTTAATTATGTCTCGGGTTTTATTTCTAACCTTAGAACTCTTTGTGCACCATTATTCAAACATCTCAAGAAAAACCCCCCACCTTAGAATAATTCTACGTGTCAAAGTATTATTCATCTAAAGAATATAGTTAAAAAAATTACCATGTCTAGGAATCTCATGTCCTAATGTCAAACTAATAGTTGAAATAAATGCCTCTGATCTTGAGTTTGGAGGAATTTTAAAACAAATGCTTTCGGATTTATAAAAGGAACAAGTTGGTAGATATTATTATAAGACTTGGTCTTCTGGCCAATTAAATTACAACATTATTAAAAAAGAAATTTTAGTAATTATTTTATGCATTATGAAATTTCGAGATGATTTATTTTCAAAATTGATTGTAAATCTGCAAAAAAACATTTTACAAAAGGATGTAAAAAATTTAGTTTCAAAACATATCTTTGTCAGATGACAATCTTTTCTTGCATGTTTTGATTTTGAAATCATACATATTGAAGAAAATAAAAATGTTTTACCAGACTTTTTGACAAGAGAATTTCTGCAGGTTAACCATAAATAATAAAAAAAGGAACGCTAAAGCATCTTATGGCCCTATTACAAACAAATGATAAGAAGATTATTTGGGAAACATCCACTTACTTATATTTAACAACAAAAACAGGAACACTAAAGCATCTTATGGCCGCCATTATTTAAAGCATCTTATTTATTTAATTTTCTTTTATCAACAAATTTTATATTTAATAGCAAAAATAATAATAAATAAATAAAATTAAAATAAAAACAAGAAGGGGCTTAAGAGGAAATAGGATTCAGTGCAGTTAATATTTCCTGCAGTAACGCAGTTAGATTAACACAAACGACCTGCGCGTTTGCTCACCGCGTCGCTCACTCTCAACCTCCACCGCCCCGGCACAAATCCGCACCGCTTCCGCCTCAAACCAACTCCGGCCAAACCTTCACCCGACCATTAGGAGAGCGCTGTTAAACCGCGAGCTTGAATGGCTACTCAGACAATAGTTGAAGCTGCACAGAAAATTGTCACCTCTGAAACCCTCCGCAACGCAGCGAAACAGTCGCAACGTTGCCTCACTGTCCCTGTACATCTCCGCCACGCCATTAAGAAGTACCTTCGAGGTCCTTTGTTTTTTCTCGATTTACTTTTCCACGTTATTATATCTATATGTATTCGTATAAGTATGATTTTGATTACAATTTTTTATGGTGTTATTGGGATTATAGAGCAGGAGGAGCCATATATGAAGAGGAAGGTGTTGAGGCTGTCCCAGTCATTCAATGAAATCAAGAACGTCAATCTGCAGCTGGCAACCACCACGTCGAGGGAGATGGTTGAAGACCCTTTGAAGTCTTCTGAGCAATCAAAACGTTGGAAGATTACGACCTCCTACGGTGACATTGGTCTCACGTATAGAAATGATGAGACGGTTGCTTATGTGGCTTCTCGTATGCCTGCTGTTTACTCTGCTTGTTATAGAGTACTTAAAGAGGTAGGTGAAATGGTTATGAGTTTTTTTGTTTTATATTAATCCTTTACTTGTCCGACAAAATAAATAGATGTAGTATGTTAAAACAAAATGAAAGTAAAATTGTAGGTGTGAAAGATGGTGTTGATACAGTAGGATTGTAGGGGAAACATTTCTTGAACGGCAGGGGTTGCATATATTATAATAAAATGAAGAGAATTAGCGATAAAGAATGCTCTTATAAGATGGAGTTAGGGAATTTAAGAATAGCCGATTTATGTTTCTGTTTCCTTCTTAATGCGTGAAGTATGAACTGAGTTATGTTCCCTTTAACTTCTTATCACGATCTCACTGCTATGTCTTTTTAGGTTCGTAGAAGGCTTCCTGGTTTCTCCCCAACCAAGGTTTTAGATTTTGGTGCTGGGACTGGTTCAGCTTTCTGGTAAAAGACTCTTGAGCTTTTTCCGTTAAGTGGTTAACTTTGATATTTTAAATTTAGAATTGTTCTTGAATTAATTTGTTGTCTTTCAAATCTGATGACAAAGGGCATTACGAGAAGTTTGGCCAAAGTCTTTAGAGAAAGTAAATTTAATAGAACCATCACAGTCAATGCAGCGTGCAGGTCAGAGTCTCATACAAGGTAAATGCTGATAACATATTTGAACAAGATAGTTTTCTTATTCTTAAGGATATTAAATTTTATGTGAGAAATGATGAATATTATTAGTTTTAGTAGAAGGGTAGAAAGGTAGCAGCCCAGCTTGGAATTTAGATTTCAAGGAATGGAAGAGGACCTACTAAGATGTACATTTACCGTCATGATGGAATCATGTAATTGTTATTTGAAGCGTATGGTTTATGGATTACTAAATTCCTCAGAATTTGACATTATTCGTATAGATGGATGAACATTTTGTTATGTCCTAATACATACATGGGTGAGTATGTTATCGTCTACGCAGGCTTCTTTTGTTTGCAAGTTCGGGCATTTCCGATTGGTACTCGGCACTTTGGGGAAACTTTTGTCACCTTAAAGTTTGAGTATTGTATTAGATTTGAAGTCCAGTGTCTTTAATGACACATAAGATCAACAATTGTAAGATTGCAGAAACAAATCCTATTCTTCCACTATTTTCTCCCTTAAGATGAATAATATACTTGGAAAGGAAAAAGTTTAAAGAAAAAAGAATCATTCTGTCTATTATAGGAGTTTGTCACAAATTGTAAAGTTTTGATGTTTAAGAAAGCTATTCTGACTGTAGCAGGTCTCACTATTTTTTTGTTTAAGGTTGAAAACCTTTTTCTAGTCACAGTACCTAATTCATAGCAGTCACTGAAATGTGGTGATAGTCCTTAATATCAACTCTGTCCCAGGATTTCAACCTTATATTGTGCTATTTATGGCATATTAATTTAAATAATGAATTCCCTGTTTTATATTGAATATATTGAGTTCTCTCCTTTCCCAAATTTCTGAAGATGCCGATTTCTACATTGATTTTGTTCTGCTTTTGATTATGTAGCTCTCAAGAACTTGCCACTTATTCATAGCTATGACAGCATTCAAGCTCTGTCTAAAAGTATTGGTAAATCGGAGAGAGGGCATGACCTTGTAATTGCTGTAAGTTTGTTTTTGGTATTATTTATGTATATTTGCAACAAGATGCTTGTTTTTGGATAATCAACTAATTGTATGTGGTTCATTTGTTCATATAGTAAAACAAATTTCACTATTTTTTCCATTCAATTTTCAAATTTAGATTGAAACAAACTAAAAAGTTCTGCCGAATTCCTTCTGTATGTTCAGTTTCATATTTTGGTATCAGAACCCTCTATGTATCTTTTCTAATTCTAGAAGGGGCATACTTTGTTTTATATTATTTTTTCAAGCATTAGGCATATATGCTATTTGTGTATTAATTCTAATTGTTTGTGCTCTGTTTTGGTGGGGTGAAGTCTTATGTGCTGGGAGAGATCCCTTCGTTAAAGGATCGGATTACCATAGTTCGCCAGCTTTGGGATCTAACACAAGATGTTCTGGTATGATTTCAAGCTTATAATTTTGTTGTCGGATTAAGATTGTCTCCTACAAATTATTAATTCTTTTGAATCTTGTATCTAATGCTATCTTCATTTGTGAAATCCAAATCTTGTAGGTTTTGGTTGAACCTGGAACGCCTCACGGATCCAATATTATAGCACAGATGAGATCTCACATACTATGGATGGAAAAGAGAGTGAGTTTACCTCATCTTTTGAAAAAAATTCTAAACAATGATAAACAAGCCTTGCATTCAATCTTTTGGTTGTTCACTTCTCTTCATATTTTATATAAGAATGGATTTCACTGTCTTTGCAGAAACATCGTAAATCTTCTAACAAAAATAATGAAGTTTGTAAAGATTTGATCACTGAAAAGGCCGGTGCTTTTGTGGTTGCTCCTGTAAGTACATTGCCAAAATCATTCTAAGTCTTTATCTGCCTCTCCCATTGTTATTTTTCACTTGACCGATTTTCTTCGTCAGTGTCCTCATGATGGTGCTTGTCCACTGGTAAAATCTGGAAAATATTGTCATTTTGTTCAGCGTTTGGAAAGGACATCATCGCAGCGAGCTTACAAGGTTTCTCCTTAATCTATATTTTACTTTCTGTATTGGAGATTCATATTGTCTCCACATTCCTAATTTCCTCTTTTCATTGATATTAGGAAGGATTAATTAACACAATAAACAACTTATTTCTGCTCTATGATTTTTGCAGCGTTCAAAAGATGTGCCCTTGCGTGGCTTTGAAGATGAGAAATTCTCTTATGTTGTTTTTAGACGAGGAAGAAGACCAAGGCAAGCGTTTTATTTTACTTGAAATTAAACAACTCTGGATCACATATCATAATACATGGGACACTATCGTATTTTCAGTACAATGAAATTCTGAATTTTTGTTTTCATTAATCCCTTGAACCAGTGAACCTTGGCCTCTTGATGGTATTACATTTGACACTCTGAAGGAGCAACATGCCAAAAGAAATCCAGAGGATCTTGAAATTGACTACGGTATGTGCAATGTTGTTTTCTGTTAAAATACTTCGAAATGAAATATAAAGTCTGATTTTAAAATCAGGTTCATTTCATGGTCTGGTTAAGGATTTTGAAGAAATCGGTTTTGATTTTTATTTCTTATTTCCAATAATAATTATAAAAGTAGACATTATATGTTTTCTAGAACCAAATTCCAATTTGTATATATATTTCTTTTATACTTTTTTCAGAGGACTGGTTGAAGTTGCAACAAGCTGATGATGACGATGCTTCTCGTGTAGTAGACGTAGTAAAATATGATTCTGATGCTATTGAAACCGACCATGAAGACAACAATGAAGTGGATGAGGAAATCGAAGAAGAAGAAACACCGAGTGCTGATCTTGGAGGTGGCTGGGGCAGGATTGTGTTCATGCCTGTTAGAAGGGGTAGACAGGTAACGATGAATGTGTGTAAATCAACCAAAAGCGATGCCTCCGAGGGTTCATTTGACCGCATGGTTGTAACAAAGAGCAAGAATCCTACCTTGCATCATCAAGCCAAAAAATCTATTTGGGGTGATTTGTGGCCGTGTTGAAGTAAAATCATTTGTGGCCGTGTTAGTTTTATTCGTCATTTACTGTGAGGATCATCGTGTTACAATGGTGGTTGCTGGAGGTAAAGTTTGTCGGAGGACAGTGAGATGCCATGGATGAGAGGAGGAGAGTTGAGAGGGAAAGAGTAAGTTCTGGTGACTCTGAAGTTATCATATTCACTAAAGTAGATTTTGAAAGGTTCAGAAGGATGTTTGAACAGATGGAGGTACTTATAGAGGAAACAACAAAAATGAAGTATACATTTTATTTTGAACAGACCTATCTCCTTCTCCCCCTCCTCAATAAATTTTATTTTAACCAGTATTATGTTTTGATTTTAGTTATAAGGTTAATGAATTTTATTGATTTAAGTTATTATTTGTTATTTGATAATTTTTTTGATTGTGCAGATAAATATATATTCATTGTGATTTTTCAATCAAGGGAGATTTAAAAACAACTGCCAACTAGATAAGCAATCATGGGATTTAGAATACTAGTAGGAATGGTAAAATATTATGAATATATGAAAGTGATGGGTTATTCTCAACTAGTATTCAAACATGTTATTGAGAGTACTAATAATTGAATGCAAATTTTCAAAAAGTTGTGAAATGGTTAACAAAATAATTCATATATAATTTAGTAATGCTAGTCTTACACATATTCTGATTGTATCTGATCAGAATAGACCGTCACAGTTTACTCCGAGTAGAATTTGAGAGTGAGGTGGGGATACCTGCAAGACACTCTGATGTCAAAGTAAGTTTCAGAATGAGCAAGCAAGTATGAGAGTAAGAAATGTTCAATACCTGAGCCTCTCGAAAGAGAGGGTATTTATAACCCCCAGCGTTGGACCAAGGTCTGCTCATTGGACTGATCAAGCAGGCCCAAAGTGGAGAATGTCAGGTTCTACGTGAGTAGTGGGGACCCGCACGTGGTCTCCCATCTGGATGACTTCCTCCGCAAGATCAGGAGGATATGAATGTGGTCTTTCAGGGGCCACAGAGACTCTGTGATATGCAGAGACGATAGTCAGTCCTACGAGGAGGATGCTCAGAAGGTGCTTCTGCTCGTCGTGGAATGCTCCCTGCCAGATACGAAAGATCGCGTGAGGAGATAAGGCTTCGATGAGGAGGATCGGAGGGTGTTCTCGGGATCATCCTGACCGTGTGTGAGCTCCTAACTGGGTTTTCCCCTTGTGTAGCGAGGTCGCTTCCTTACGGGGAGTGGAACATATTTTGTCCGACGTGGATTGGGCCTCACGTGGAGTTGGGCCAATGGGAGGCCCAGTCCAGAACAACAGTCCCCCAAGTCGTTGCTTCTGATGAAGGAGCTATAACTTAAATCTAGCCTTTTCTTTTTACGAAGTGTGTTACTCGACAAGAATCTCTCAGTGCATGGACGGAGAAAGTCGTCGGTATACGGGTTTACCCGAGCAGTGTTCGGAATGGACTCGAGATGGCGTCGCTCTCAACACGGAGAGAAGAAAAACAGCAGGGTGTGGGCACGTGGCGTGACGTTTAGGGTTGTAATGATGGCCTAGGGAGTAGGGGTCATCATTAGCTGAGCACGTAGGTGTCGAGGAGAAAGGTTGTTGTTGGGATGCCCGACGTGACGTTTCGCATTCCACGACAGCTCTATAAATAATGCCTCAAGGCCCATTATTCATATTTATATTTTCGCACTCTTCATTCTCCCTATCGCCAACGTCGTTTCGTCCTCTGTAATCGCTGACGCGGTCACACAATCCTCCGCGTGTTCCTCATCTACCACCGTCATTCTTCATCTATTCTCTTCCAAGTATTTTTCCGTGATATTCTTTATTTAGATTGACTTTGAGGCCGTTTTAGTAGTAGGGTTTAGCCACTGGGGGATTTTTCCCGGGGGATTCATGGATTTAGGCGTATTATTCGTGACTGAGCCCGCGATATTTATCTTGTCACCGACATTTAGACGAATTTTCCTTGTTATCTTCATATATCCCCGTGAAATTCATGATTTTTACGCGAGAAATTTATGCGATCCCTGGAGGATTCATGAGTTTGGCCGGCGAATTCATATCTCGCTCGTTGTATTCATCATGCGTCCGGGGTATTCATGAAAAAATGTTCGCATGAAAAAGTGTTCGTCGCTACGATCGTTGTGTGGTCTTATAAGACTGACATGATTTTCATGGACTGGTCGAGAGCCGTGTATTTTTCCTCTCTGCGCGAATGAATGTCAACTTGGGTTGGGCGTTACTTAGCCTTTTCATCTGCGTCGTGGAAGGGTGGATTTGGATTTGTTGTCGAATTCACCGGTTTCCTCTGCTTTGCAGGTAAATGGCCGATACTCCCGAATCGTCAGAGCATATTGACACTGAAGAGACTAGTGTAGTCAAGGAGGGCGTCAACTTGGTCGACACGATCGACGATCCTGCTTTGGCTTGGGTCGGTGCAGAGCCTCGAGGAATAGCCTCAATATATAGTCACACTAGGAGGCAAGCTTATACTGTCGTTGAGTATGGCGAGACCAAGAAGACTTTCAGAGGAACTTCAAAATCCTGCGGCCGGTTCCTACTGCTCGCATATGCTCGAAGTTCACCCACGACACCTTCCCAATGTACGAGGTCGTATTCAAAGACTTGGGACTTCGACTTCCATTCAACGATTTTCAAATGGGGATGCTCAATCACTTGAACTTAGCACCCTCTCAGCTTCATCCCAACGCTATTGCCTTCATTCGGGTATTTGAACTTACTTGTCGGTTCTTGAGGATCGGGGCGACCATTCCCCTATTCTTCAGGGTTTTTCACCTATAACGGCAGTCCCGGGGAGGGAAACACAATTGGGTCTCCCTCAAACAGTCGAAGAGGCTTTTCAGGATGTACATGGACTTCGTCCGCGATTTTAAAGACATGTGGTATGTCTTGCAACCCTCTACTCAAACAACCGTGGACGCCATGTTCGACCCGACTTCCGTTATGGACGAGGATGGAGAACCGTGCTACGACGCCGAGGGTAATCCGGAGATAAGATGAATCTCGAAGTTTCCCATCCACTGGTGTTCGGGCCACTACGATCATGGTTCTGGGCATTACCATACTTCCGTCGGCGGTATGAGCGCTGAAGACGAAGAGGCCTATAACATCCTTAATCGGTTCGTCGACGGTTTCTTCCCAGCCAGGTGGGTCATGAGGGAAGGACATGACATCCTTGATGAAGACGGTGAGCCGACGTACGAAGCGCGCCCGATCAACACCAAGGTGCTCATCGAGTGTCGATCTTACGGACAGGCCGTGGATCTCTTAGTGTCATACCCCAATTTTTGACCTAAGATCCTATTTTTATTTTTTCATTTTTGTACAGAAGTCAAGGTCATTAAATACAGTCGGTTTTAACCTCTCACCTTTGAGCATTGACTATGCAGAAATTGTCAAGTGTTTTGAACATTCTTAGCCTATGTATCACTAACTTCTAATCAAACACGAAATGTGTGTTTTTTTTGTTTCTTTGATTTCATGTGCAGAGACAGGTCTAAATCAAGGACATCAGGCGTTGCGCTTCAATTAGGGTTTTGAGTTCTTCAAGCCAGAAGTACCATTGATTATTGATTCTCGAAGACTGATTCATCAAGACACGACTTCTAAAGCTTTGTTCAGGCTTATTTTGATCACAGTTGTTTCAAGTATGATAGCTTCTGTCTCGAGGATCTTTAGAGGATCGTGTGTTTATTTCCACGCCTTGTTCGATAAGTGGTCTCGAGCTTCTTCCAAAATTCCCCAAAGCACAGTCAAGATTTCATCATCACTGGTTTACATGTGCATCAATATGCTTTAGAATGCGAAGAAGGATCAAGTTTGCAAGTCGATTCAAAACATTTCGACCAAAAGTCAACTCTTGCAAGTTCAATTTCAAACGGTCATAACTTCTTCAATTTTCAACATCCTGAGGCGATTCTTTTGCAAAGTATCACAAATAGCGTTGTTTATGAGATCACTTCAAAGATTAAGGTTCAAGTCATGCCACAGACGTTTTCTCAAGAACGTTTGATTTTTCTGTTGGGATAATTCATGAAACTGGAGTTTTAGTCCAATGATTCTTTGATTGCTTGTGGACTACTTCGAGTCATTTTGCAATTGAACTGTAGCGATCATTGGATTAAGGTGGATTGTCGATTAAATTTCTTAAAGGCACGATTTGGGCTATTGGTCTGTATTGCAAATTACTATGAGGTGAAGACGCGAGTTAGGGTTGAGAATTCTTCGAATTCTTGTGGTTTGCAAGCTAACTTGGATTTGAGATTTGAATCAAGATTAAATTCATTGTTGTGAAGTTTTCTTTCAAGTAACCAATACCATAGAGCCAAAATATCAGAGTTTTTCAAATAACATTAGGGTTCTTATTTGCAAGAGAGAAGAAGGTTTATGAATTTGATGTCTTGAGTAAGATGCATTCTAATTTCTCGAGGTTTATTTCAAGAGTGCAAGTTCATTAATGGGAATTGTTCAAAATATCAAGAATTATTCAAGACCTTTCTCAAAATTCAACTTCATTAAACATTCATGCATTTCAAATTCAAAGACAAATTTCGACATAAATTTTAATTGGAATCAAATTGTGTGTCAATTCAGACTAGAGATTAAATTAAGAGAGCAAGATCATCTGGTGTAGAATTTATTCAAGATTTTCATTCAAATTCATACTTTCGTTCATATGAATTCAAGAGGTTACAAAATACTCCCATTAAAAAATCATCACCATTTCATATCTCATTATAAAACCATACACAAACACATGAATTCCTAAGTCCTAAAGTGCTAAAATTACATGAAATCTTTATGCTAAACCACCAAAATAATCCTGTTTATATGCTACTATCTTGCTGCCAAATAATGCCAAAAAAACTGCTGCTGTATGCTGCTCCAAACCCTGCACATCAGTCCAAAAATAATGCCCTAAAACTGTCTTTTATCTGCTGTCCAAAACCAGCTGCTACAAACTCTGCCTTACAGTCCCAAAAACTGTGTAAATTCTGTCCAAAATCAGCCTATGTTGCAGTCGTCAAACTAGTCCTGCTATTTTGCACAAGAATAGAAAACCACCAACCTGCATCAAGAAAGCAAGAAGAAGTGAACCGCAAACAATTTCAACCTATCGAATTTCCCTCCTAAATTTCATATGGTTTTTCAGATATAAAACAGTTCCAAGACAGAGATAAAGGAGAGAGGAGAAACCCCAGAAAAAAGAGAAAAAAAAATCAGTAACAAAACTCTCCAAAAATTTAGCAACAATCTTCCTCCAAGTTTCAACTTTGTTCATCATTACAGAAGCAAATAACAACAAACCTGCAATTGAAGTTTTCATCACCAATTTTCCAACAACATCAGAACCTGCACAAATGTATAGCGCATTAATAGCTTTCCCCAATTGTGTCGACTTCAACACCGATACTAGTTTTTTTGAGAGATTG